TTCCCATTTTAAATATAATTTACAAACAGGAAAAGGCATAAACATAAATTTGGAGTTCTACCTTTGTCATTTAACGATATCAAATTTTGCTTTTACTACCTAGTTTTCATAATCATAATCTTTAATAACTACCAAATATTCCACTGAAATTTAATATCCTAATTTATTTAATCACTACCCTACTAGTAAATAGGCTGTTCCTATTTGTTAGTATAGATAAGGCTTCAATAAAGATAATGCCTATGGCTTTTTATTCTTCTTCTTCTAGTGGATTATTAATATTTCCCAAGAAAGATTCCTGGGGAAATGAAAAAGCAAGCATATTTTAATGTTGCTTGACAAGTATTGCCAGGTTGCGTTCCAGAATAGTTCATATAATGGTCCTTTTAAAAGCTACATTACCTAACATACACTAAGTGGTACAGGATCCAAATCTCAGGTACCACCTGGGAATTCAAGGACCTGAGAAATTCTCCTTTTCCTCTTCCAAAGCACCTGCGGGTCCTGAAAGGGCAAGTACCTGACCACCTGCAGGAAGTTCCCGGGCTGTGCCCAGGGGCAGTACATTCAGAGGAAGGGCAGTTTGCCCTGATTTCTAACTACACACAGCAGATAGATTGGTAGCAGCTAACCGGAAGACCTTTCCATAGTGGCCAAAATAAACGTGGTGGAAGGCAAAGTGTTTTAATCAATGTGATGGATGAAACCATTGACCTAGATGATGAAGCCCAGGAGAAACAGCAAGTTTCTAAAACCCTGAAGGCACCCAAAGGCCCCAGGCCTCTACTTGAGTTATCATCACCTGAAAACTCTGTCTCAGCCTGGGAGCTTGCCCACCCAGCATCAAAAGCTTATAATGGCAGAGCTGAAAGTGACCGCAAGACCACTTAGTTCAATCCCCTGATTTTACAGTTGAGAGAACTGGGCCTAGAGAGGCCGGATGTCCTTCCCAGGGTTGCAGAACCAGACCTTTAGAGCATGAGTCTTCTGATGGCCACTGGCTTCCTCTCCACGGTACTGCTTGTCTTGCCCCCAAAGAACTCTGCCCATAAGCGTAGCAATGCAAATCTGCTCTGCTCCCACTGCCACATGTATACCACGTGCCAGATTTCAACAACACTGCCAAACACAAAAACTCACCTTGGAAACTCAGCTCATAGTTCCGTGAACCCGCCCGAAACCTCACAACTCCCCTTGGGCAGTGCCGATAGACAGACTCCAGGTATGAAGAGTCAATGTTCGAACATTTCTGGTTGTCTTTCTAATTAAAAAAAAAAAAAAAAGATTTCAGGGAAGGCTTTTAGGACATCTCTACTGTTTTATCTCATATGCTCTTAT